AAAAACAAAAAAAAACAAAAAAAGGATGGCTGTGATGATAGTTTATGAGGACAATTTGGAGTTCACTTCTCTGATAATGCAATCTCCACATGCCACCAATAAGATGGCTGTGACAATTCTAGTGGTGCTGGTGGCTCAAAGCAAGGTCATTGGTCCTGTTCTTTTTTATAGCATATGCTTATACTATAAGCTAACAAGTTAGCCAGCACTAGGGATATATGTCTAGCTTTGACCCTGTATAATTAAGTATGGCATACTACATAATCATTTCCGGTACTCCGACGGGGATGAAGGTATGTTCAATGCAGTTTTGATCTGTTTTCCTGCAGTCCAAAATTTATACATTTGAATGAGCAAGTCCGGTCTTATGAATTAATAAACGTGCAGCATTTTGATCCAAGGCAGCTAGAGACATATCGCAATGTTTCTGTGAAATGTCGGGGAATCTTTCTTGTTCTGTAAAATTTCTTATCTTGAAATCAAAAGATCAGAAACATGATGACGACAGTCTAACCCCAAGAAATCCAATGGAGAATCCCACACAGATTTTCTTTCTTTCTTTTTTTTTTTTTAAAAAAAAAAAATTTTTTGTTAAGGAAGAAGTAACATCTAGACATGCTTGATGACTCATGCATGAGTAATTAGGAGACTTTCTTTGCGGATGATTTCTCAAATTAATCCTCCCGTACTTGTTGCACTAATTACATCTACCAATTTTCCACCGAATTTCCTTTGTTCAAGCCTGCGAAATAAGAGCTCTCATAAAATTAATGCAGATAAAAGTTGAAAGACTCCTTTAAATGTTACAAATTGGTCAAGTAGCCAGCCAGTTAAACAATTAATGTAATCAAAACAAATTAGGTATGGGTACGTACTTGTTAGATGTTACTTACTACTACTTTTATATGCTATTGCTTTTGTTCACGCAACTGGGAAGATACTAAGCATTTATGCCCGAGAAATAGTAGTACTATACAAATATGTTGACTAAACCAAACTACATCTGACAGTTTCTCAAATAACGCCAAAGCAGCACGTATATTCTAGATACATATACAGAAGAGCTTTAAGAAAATATGCAGAAAAAGGCAGAAGAAAATAAAATGTCCACCAACCTGCTGCTAGTAATTTAGCGAGAGATCAACTAAAAGTAGACTCTGACCTTTGGAAATAGATTAATTGGGCAGAGGAAGTGCCGCATCCCACCCAGAACCTTGCAAACAATTAATTATGACACATAAAATATTGACTTTTCTTGGCCTTTAGTTTACTGCGTAAACTATATATGGTAAACACTGGAGAAATAGTCATCATTTTGAAAAAAAATTCCAGGTTTTGAAAACCAAACTGAACAGCTGCTGTGATTAAAGACTCAAATATGTTCATCGGTCAGAGTTCAAATGAGTCCAAGAAGCTCCAAATTAAACAAATATTGCCAGGGCATTATTTTCTTATGTACGCAAGCAATACTCATGGGGATAGCCAGGACAGAAGAATAATTATTGACTTAAATCAGTCAAACTTTTTACCGCGCATTCATTTGAAGTTTGGAACCGTGACTAATTGCAGAGAGAAACCTCTCGTTTTCGCGTACGTGGAAGAAGAGTTGATGAGGCCAAAAAAGCCAAAATGGAGGAATTGGCGAGTCAAGGCTGAAGACATCGAAAGAGGCCAACTGTCAGCAATTTAGCCAGAGCCCTTTTTGAAATTGCGTATTCAAGGCGTGCATAAAGTATCAACGCCCGCTTTGAGATTTGTTCGAACAACGTACCTGATCATCCTACGTAGGCAGATATATAGGCTCTTGACTTCTTTCTAATTCTAGCTAGAATATCTGTGCAAAGACAAAATGCTTGCGTTATATAAATCATCTTAGTAATGTTCACTTTGGACTTCCGAGTTCGAAGGTTGGAAAATTCTAATTCCTGAAGTGAGCAACAACTAATAACGCATGCCTGCCAAATTTGTTTTTTGAGCTTTATGAAGTTTCAAAACCTGTTTTAGACTTAGACTTGTGGAAAGATGCGAAACATTAATTCTTCTTATTTAGATGCATGCATCAGAAAACCAAATTTATTCGGTCGGTATAGGCTCTATATCCTTTGTTGAAAGATTGGGAGTCCAACCTTGTTAAAGGCTTAAAGCATGCAAGATAATATATTTGTTTGGCAGTACTTCAAGTATATATAACAGGAGTTTCTTGTTTTGGAACTAGTATAATCACGTTTAAGGCCCCCCACAGGCAGCTCGGGCGGACTTCGCGTTCTTAGTTAAGGCGCCGGTCCTGGTTTCGATTCCGCGCTTGGGCTGCTTGGGGTAATTTCCTGAGGATCGGTGGGGCCCGCTCTCCTCGGGGTTGGTAGGATTAGTCGGGGTGAGACCCGGACACCTTCCAACTGAAAAAAAAAAAAAAAATCACGTTTAAGGATATATATGGTGAACTTGGATCTTTTCTTTTCTTTTTTTCCTTTTTATGTACCTAAGCAAGTGCTTCTTTTATCTCAACATGTACCTACTTGATTAACCGAATACTGAAATTGTAGTAAGTATGATTTTTCTTCATAGCCTTTCTATCGTCCCCACCCACCTTAACTTTCTTCATCTCCATGGCCATTTCCTTGGCCTACATATGTGTATATATATATATCACTCCCTGATCGCCAGACTGAATATATTATAAAAAAGTTGTTGGCCATGCGTCTTGGTCAATAGCTTAGTCACAAATCGAAATAAGAAAAAAGAAATGAAAAGGAACCATAGATAGAAGTTGAAGGATTAAGGTGGACGTACGTAGCATTCCAGCCCAGTTGACTGGTAAAATTATCATACTCAAATAGCTAGTATTATCAGGTGACGTACTGATCAATTTATTTTCTTTTCTTATTGTTTTCCTTGTCTCTTTTTGGTAGGAGTAAATCTTATACGGGGAGACACTAACCTTGGAACTTCCTCGTTGGTAACCTTCTCGGAAACTTTGTGGTAAAATTATTTAAGAGAACTGACGCCATGCAACAATTTCTTGAATTTTTACTTCTTCATTATTCATCAATTGTGGAATTAGATAAGGAGTGTTGTCGGAGATAACAACTATTTATGGCAAGGCATGACTGCAAGCTTAGTCTACAAAATGTTTTATTAACAAATTGAAATTGTGCGGACAGACATGATTCATTGCCAATACATAGTAACTTTTTGCATTATGCGTGCGATTCACCAATTACTATAGGAAATTTAGCTATTATCAATTAATTTTACAACTTGTGAATTGCAATTTACAACGTGTGAGGTGTTTTGCAGTACATTTCTCCAACATTTCGCACTATTGATTGTTCTTAACCCCCAATGCTTGCTTGTAGAACTTGAAACTGTAGGTAAATCACACAACGGATTTTTTGTCTCACTTTCTGTGCCGCTCTCTCACACACTTTTTATTATATTACTATTTCTCCTTCATAAACATCATATTTTAATTTTTTTTTATTTTCTTAAAATCCAATAATTATTAACTAGATGACAACGCAGATACTTAAAATACATGTGTTTAAAAAAAATGTATTCACACACATAATTAGTGAGGGATGGAAATATTCATTTTTTGAAATATGAGGGATGGAGAAATTCATTTTGTGAAATGTGAGGGATGAAAAAAATCATTTTACAAAATGTGAGGGACGAAAAAATTTATTTTATCAAATGTGGAGGACTATAGATCAGATTATGTAAAATATAATTTGACAAATTTACCCTTCAAAAATGATCACGTGCCTTGCACGTGATGGATTCCGGCCAAAAAATGATCGGAAACCTAGTTAAGGACTAAATTTGACCGATGTGAATATTTAAGGGACATAAAATTACACTTTTAAAAGTGAGGGACGAAAAAAGTCATTTTACAAAATGTGAAGGACGTTTTGGATGATTTTCCCAAAAAAGAAGGTATTGCACATTTCGAGCCAATAATAATCCTGCAAATTAAGCCCAAGCCGTAAACCAACTGAGCTTTCTTAAGGTTAACAGACTTGAGGCCCAGACCCAGAGCCTCAAAGTACTGGATAAATTGGGATTAGTGCAGCAGCTATGGCCTATGGACATTGTGGGTTAAATTCCTATAATGGCTCTCTCTCCAAGACAGAGACTGATTTTGATCGTCTTAATTATTCTTAGGAACGAGATACTACGATTAAAAGGCTAATTAAGATCCAAAGTGCAAAGTGAAAATGTGTTCGAAACTTTTACAGATACAAAAGTTGCTTTGCTGCTAAGTCCAAACAGTACATGAGAGGAGATTATTTAAAATAATTTTTTTAGAATAAGTAGGGTAATGCCTTTTATGATTTAATTATGTAGTTGAAAATGTGACGTAGGAAATGGAAATTTTTTTGGTATAAAAACATTTTTAAACACACGCACAATTTAACTCTATAAAACTGTTTCTTATTGTTAGGATTGGTTATGAAAAAGCTTAGTATAAATTAATCAATTTTAACACATATTTTTTGGGTTGACCTATATATCTAAAATCGGTTTAATTCCTACAAATTCCAAGTTTTAAGAGACGGGGAGTCTGAGAAAATGAGATTTATATGGGTTAATAGAATAATAATCGGTAATAGTTTGGCTTTTGATGAGTATAATCTTTTGAATTTGGCCTAAAAAAAAGAATTTGGCATCTAATAATTCAAAGTCCCTCTCATATTTAACCCAAAAAAGAAGAAGAAGAAGAAAAAAGGGATAACAAACATAAACTCATTTCATTAAAAAATATATATATTTTAAGGGGGAGGGGCTGGAAAGAAAAAAAGAATGGACTCGTGCTAGCCATATGTGATGTATATATATATATATATATATACCTGTACATCAAAAAGCGCTAATGCTTTCTTGAGCCAATTTTTTCCTATTTCAACAAATTTGTGAAAAATCAAATAACGTATTTGTAAATTACATTTTAATTTAAAAGAATGCATTTTGTTGATGCATTTTTCACCTTTGGAATGAAAGTCAAAAATCGCCACCGTCTCTGGAAAAGTCAGTTCACATTTTCTGGGAATTTACTTGAGCAAAGTTTAGTTGAAAATCAACCCGGGAAACAGATCTCAGTCGCAATTCAAGTAAACCGCTTCGGCTTATTAGCTTTCTCTCTACGCTAAGGCGTAGCGTTGCCGGAACGCGGTCTGTAAACACACTTCTGCTGCTGCCATTGTGAGCTGCTACTACTAGTACAATAACAAGGTACAAGGCGGCGTCTATACATACACTCCCGCCCCTCAGTCGCTGTCTCGTTCGCTTTTCACTTTTAGTAGTTTTCAGTTTCCTTTGTCGGGGCCTGGTTGCCTGTACTTCCCTCTTTTCTCCTTTTCAAAATCCTAGTACTGAGAAATTCTCCTTGTAGTAAAATTTCCTACAAATTAGAGGTTTCTTCTAGGGTTTATCATTCCTCCGCTGTAGCTCTACTCTTTTGGTACGCCTTTTTTCCTCTACCGAGATTGCTTTCTACTTCCTTCTGCAGTACTAGCTCTCGCGATTGTTTTCGATTATTGATGGTAATACAATTTTATGAAGACTTTTTTTTTGTTTTCTTTTATTTCTTGATTTTTAATTCCTTTCGTATGTTGTAATGCTCCAGTTTTAATGGCGACATTTGGAGCAGCAGCTGCTTCAAGTTACAACCCCAACCGCTCTGCTGAGGTTGATTTTTTCTTTTCCTATTGTTCTGCTCTTTCCTTTATTTCTTTTCGCTATTATTGCTGTACTTATTACCATTGCGATTCTTGGTTGGGTGTTAATTGAAGGTGGTGCAACCGCCCAGTGATTCTGTGTCCAGCCTTTGTTTCAGTCCGAAGGCTAACTTCCTTGTCGCCACTTCTTGGGATAATCAGGTGGGAGCTGTTTCCCTCTTCAATTCAATGCTTTATTCATAGAATTCCTTTTTTTTTTTTAATTAATGTTGTTGCTTTACTATTTTACTTTTTAATGTTAGTCCTGCTATTAGTTGTTCAAAGGTTTTGGAATAATGTTTTTGATGTCTAAACGGAGGATTTGTGCACCTGAACTTTTTAGTTTGATGGTGAAATAATCGATTTTGATATAAACTTTTGGGGTTGCCACCATTGACTTATGTTTTTCTGTTACATAAGCCTCAGTAGCTGTAGATAAACTCTCTCTCTCTCTCTCTCTTTTGTGTGTGAGCGGTGGAAATTTTTCTTTATTTTGGGGACTGGAGCTTAAAATTGTGAGCAATACTGCTGCATCTTGTAGGTGAGATGTTGGGAGGTAATGCGGTCTGGAACCAATGTTAGTACCCTGCCTAAGGCTGCAATGGCGCATGACCAACCGGTAATGTATTTGATCCCTGTGCTATATGGTTCTCCAATTATGTATGATTTTGGGTTGTTCCTTGACCCTTCAGTTTTAATGTGTGGTAGGTTCTGTGCTCCACGTGGAAGGACGATGGAACTACTGTCTTTTCTGGAGGATGTGATAAGCAAGCCAAGATGTGGCCTCTGTTATCTGGTGGTCAGCCAGTGCAAGTGGCCATGCATGATGCCCCCATCAAGGAGATTGCTTGGGTCCCTGAAATGAACATGTTGGTAACTGGAAGCTGGGACAAGACATTGAGGTGGCCATTGATTTTAACTCTTTTTAAAATTTTAATTGGACTCACCAATTGTGTATTTTCTCTTGTGTACTATTACTATATAATATACTAGTGTAATGTTATTTTTCCTTGTATGTTGATGACTAGAATTTGTGAAATCTGAACTTGTTATATCCTGTCTTTGGATTTTGATATATCTATATTCAGTGATTGATCGTTCGTCATGCATACTGGCTTTTGGAATAAGATAACTAGATCATTTTCAAGACACATGTATTGTTGGGCAGACATCATCTATACTCCTAGTGTGCATTGCCGTTGAAGTTTTGTGTTCCTGCTTAATGTTATAATCTCCATGCTTTTCGAAATATGTCAATGGTTCTATGGGTTTACTGAACTTTGTGCCCTTTGAAAATTGCACTTGATTTTCATTTGATCCCATGCTAGTCTCAACAGATGTGAGACTTTTGTGTTAATCGGCTTTCTGTTACTATTCTTTTTTTAATGATCCCTTCTGAAGTTTTGTGTGAACCTGATTAATCATCCTTTTGTTTTTCTTTCATTTGAAAGTGGAGAATCTTCCCTTGGTCACCATCATGGTTCTAATTAGTTTTCTCTTTCAGGTATTGGGATTTGAGACAGCCGAATCCAGCTCATGTTCAACAACTTCCTGAGCGCTGCTATGCCCTTACTGTTAGATATCCTCTGATGGTTGTTGGAACTGCTGATAGAAATCTTATAGTGTATAATTTGCAGAACCCTCAGGTATTTATTTTCTATTACAAATGACTGAACTCAAAGAACTGGTTGGGAAGTTACTGGTGTAATATAATATAGAAGTAAGATCATGCTAGTGTGAACGTTGTCTTTGATGAAACGAAGAACTGCTTTCAGTGACTTAGAAATGGTATATAATTTAATATGCACTCCTACACCAATAAATATCTCTTCGGACATATGCTCCAGATTGTTCTCTAAGACCATGTTCGGTCTTCCTTGCTTTAGGTGCCATCAAGGATCAAACTATATATATATATATATATATTGAGTCAAAGTTTGAAGTCTATTTGTTGTCTATGTATTGTGGTAGTCCCCTATTAGAATGTTGAGGACTACCACTCAGTGACAAAGGATGCTTATGATGTATGAACTTCTTGAATCTCCTGACGTTGGGGGGAGGTGGAGTCAAAAATTTTACCAGGAGGAAAAGAAAAGATTTACATGACTGGCCAAAGTGGTTTGAGCTTCAGTTACGATGACTATGTATCAGAATATTTTATAACAGGCTTCGACCTTGAAGATTTGTATTGTTTCCCCCCAGAATTCACCAACTTTGCAAGCAGAAACCCAGCTTTAAATTGATGTTAGATGTAAAACATTTTGTTCTATCTTTTTTCTATCACCAGTGATCATGTAAGGGAGAAGTTTATCTGGCTGTAAACTACTTTCGAATTGGTATGAGAAATAGTACCAACCTGTCAGTGGTTGAACTGCTTCCAAATCTTTGATTCCAAAAATGAAATCTTTGATTTCACTGTTTCCCTTCTCTCCCTTGTCGAGGAAGAAATCCCTACTTTGTCCAGACATATAGTTAATGATTCATGTATTTCTTCTTCTATCAGTGGTGGCTTCTGCAAGTTAGTTATACTTGAATTCACTGCTTTGACATTTTTTCGAAGCTTTGTGCATGGGTAGTGTTTATATGTATGTATAACAAATTAGGCTTCAGCTTAATTGGTTGGTAGTACTTAATGGTTTTCTTTATTCTTCACAAAGTTTTCTTTTTCTCCGGTTTGGGTGTCACATGGCAGAATTAACTTCGTAAAACTGTTATAGTCTACATTGTGGCTTGGAACCCTATGCAACTTCTCAACCAAAACTGACAGTTAAGTGTTTTCATAAAAGAAGGTAGAAGTGGGGTTGCAATTTCATATGCTTCTCGTGTCTGCTGTTATCGTGGTAGTTGCTTAGGACTTGTATGATTGCATAATTATATTATAGACAACTTGATTGTAACTTTCTCTATCCTTTTCCACTGAAATGTTGCTTTTCAATGAAAAGTAGACTGCTAACATTTTGAATTTGTTGTTTATGGTGTTGAGAAAAAGTCAATATAGTTTATTTGTAACTGCAGACAGAGTTCAAGAGAATCACTTCGCCGCTAAAGTACCAGACGAGGTGTTTAGCTGCCTTTCCTGATCAGCAAGGTTTTCTGGTAAGTAAATTTTTTGTTCTAGTAGTCTTTTGAACAATCATTGATGAGTTTTCTGCTCATCCAATGGTAATCTTTCTTAGCTTCACTTGACATTTTCTCAGTGATGAAAACAAAATTGTGTCATACTGAAATTTTTGAGAAAAAGCTTGGGGGTGCTTTTCAATTAGTATTATTTTAAATGAACTTATTTCTAGTTCTTATTTCTTGTGAATTTTGCTAATGATGTTATCTGTGGCATTGTTGCTCTCCAGGTTGGCTCCATAGAAGGCAGGGTTGGAGTTCATCATCTTGATGATGCACAACAAAATAAAAATTTCACCTTCAAGTGCCACAGAGAGGGCAACGAGATTTATTCTGTCAATTCGCTGAACTTTCACCCTGTAAGAACTTTTCATCTGATTTTAATTGTTCCTTTTTTATTTGGTTGTTTAGTAAGCCAACTTCTCTTCAAACTTTCATGGAGATGAAGATGTAGCTACTATACATCGAAATCTTTTGTCAGTTGGATGTTGAATGTAGTCTTCAGAGGTTCAAACGAAGTAATAGTAATTTTGTAGTAGATTTTTTTCTGCATTCATAATGTTTGCATTATGGGGTTCTTTACCTGACACATAATTCTTGATTGATTACAATTATTTGGATTAGTTGAATACATAATGAAAACCTCATCCATATTTGTAGTTCCCTGACATGTTTGGCCATGAATTTCTGATGTTGATAACTTATTTAATCTCCCTGAACTGGTGACTTCTTGGTGCTATATTGCGCTCTTCTTTATCAATAATTTGGTTAAATGGATAAAGTTGTCCAAAAGAATCGAAAAGAAAATCTCTTATTCCTTGGATCAATTGATTGACATGTTGTGTTCATTAGCTTCCCCTTGCCAGTAAATTCTTTGCTCAGAAACAAGAAAAGATCTTGGTGATGAACCTGTAAGCTGTAACACTTGATCAAGGTGAGCACAGCCTGATTTGGGCTTGTAGAATTGGCTCAGGGTCATGTTTGTTTTGTTCATTTCATGTTTGAAAGCAGAAAAGGGTTTCAGAAACTTACCTTTGTTTTTATCTTTACTGGATTTTATACTCACATGGTCCGTCTGGAATCAGTTGTCTGCATCTTAAAACTTGTTAAACAGTCATTTTATCATCTTATGCGAATTACAGATCCCTAATGCTGTGCACCTATATGCGATTGAGTGCCATACATTTTTCCAGTTTGGCTCTTCTCCCTTGCAAGATCTGACATTCCTTTGTCTCAGGTCCATCATACATTTGCAACTGCTGGTTCTGATGGTGCCTTCAACTTCTGGGACAAGGATAGCAAACAGAGGCTTAAGGTATTTTTCTTTCCGGCAAAAAACTTACCGATCATTAAACTATAACGTGCGTCGACTTTTGATCATCGAACAATTTTTCATCATAAATTGGCCACTAAACTAACTAATCAACACAACCGTGGCCATTTCATGAATTTTGGCTCTTAATCTACAAAACAATCAGAACATCCAACGGTATTTCTGTCCACCACTAATTAGACCCTATACCCTTGCTCCATTAAATTCCAGCAAAATAACTCCAGTACTAAATGTATCAGATCCTATTTCTTGCAGTTCTTCAAGATTAGCGCATGTGGTATTTTTACCAACTCCAGAATTCATCCAATATAATTAACACTTAGTGGTGGACAAAAAACCTCTTAAGCATTCTGATTTTTTGTAGATTAAGAGCCAAAATCCACGAAATGGCCATGGTTGTACTAATTAGTCAATTTAGTGGCCAAATAATGATGAAAAATTGTTTGATGGTCAAAAGTCGACGCAAGCAATAGTTCAATGGCCACTAAGGTTTTTTGCCCTTTTTATTCCAATGTATGCTTATAGTCAGTTCCACTGGAGTTATTAAGAGATTTTCTGTATTTGACAGCTAGTGTTTTTCCTAACTATTCCTCAGGCTTATTGATGCAAGGGAGTGGATGAGATTTTTCCTAAAAAGATCTTGAGTACAATCTCAGTTGTCATAAATTTACAAGACAAGTCTTTCATGGGTTTAGTTTTTCTAGTTCCTCATATCAAAGCTTGGGGAAAATTGAACACATGCTAGGCCTTACTGGGTTTTTCCATGCTGCTGTCTGAATTTCATTTGAGAATCATATAATAGTATGATTTTTTAAATTAACTTTCCCTCTTTTTAGTCTCCTTTTTCAATTGAATATTAAAATTGGCTATATTTTCTATTTTTTGTTGTGGAACATTCCCAACCTCTTATTCTTTCCCATTTTCATTGTTCTGCTTATCCTATGTTATGGGATTTTTGTACTTACTATTTTGTTTACTGGTTAGGCTATGTCGAGGTGCAGCCAACCCATTCCTTGCAGCACATTCAACAGTGATGGTTCAATATTTGCATATTCGGTACGACTTACTTTCGTTAGATTGTGTTCTAGAAAATTGGTGTTATTACCTTGTGATAAAGCTTGTTCTTCCGCCCAACACCAGCTGCCCCAGGTTCTCTCCCCCCCCCCCCCCACAAAAACCCCCCACCAAAAAAAAAACCCGTGTGAGGGGAAGAAAGAAGTGGAAAGGAAAAAAAAGAAAAAGAAAAAAGGAAATATTATGAGCATTTTATTTTGGGATCATCTGTTTTATGCTAGCAATACTTAATTCTAGAATCTTTAGATTTGAACTTGTATCACGGAGTTCTAGAGAAGGTATTGGAGTAGAGAAATTGTTCTTCAAGTAGTTGGCATTGGATGTTATCCAACAATATATACTTAGTTCTTGTAGCTTCATGGGTTTATGTTATTTGCAGTGTAAAACTATGTCAATGATCAATATTTTTGGTCTTTGTAATGCAGGTATGTTATGACTGGAGCAAGGGCGCTGAAAATCACAATCCAGCAACTGCAAAGACCTACATACTTCTGCACTCAGTACAGGTAAGCTACCCTTTTTGCCCCCACATTTGCAATTTAGTTAGTTCAATAAGATATACGTGAGATCCTGTCTGCTAACTGAAAGCCATTCGTGCTCCTGCTCTTTTGCAGGAAAGTGAGATTAAAGGCAAGCCAAGAATTTCCACTGGAAGAAAGTGAAGCGGGTAGTCATTATCATAGATGAAGAATATACATTTTGTTCTGTACATGATATTCTATCAAAATAGGAGTGTCTTTTTGCTTTGAGCGCCTATGTTTCTTGTTAGTTAAATTTTTGCATTCCCTTGATATGGCGTTTTCAAGTGTCCCCTTTCCAGATTGGCATTTGCCATTTACTCTTGTTGTTTTGAGTTGGGGTGCATCAAATATCGCCCTTATTATATAGTTCTTAGAATGATTCCACTTCTTCCGTCTTTATAGAGGCTTTTCGTGTTTAAGAGCAGCATTAATTCATTAGATCCAGTTTAATTCGTTACTAGGAATTTGAATTTCACTAGCGGTAGCAACCATAGCAACAGCGTCCTGGCTGGTTGCCATGATTTTGGTTTTGACAACACAGGCAAAAGCAGAATTTACAGTTGCCTTGAAACTCCTGCAAATTTGGAACAAAACAAAGATGGGGGCAGAAGTAACGGAACAAGAATGGTCTACATTTTGTCTCTTGTTCCGTCCCTTTTACTTTTAGCATTTGTTTTGGGTTCGACGTCGAGGCCGCTCAAGATGATGTACACAAGTGGTCCTTTACAAGAGCCTGGCTCCTCGACAATTCGACTTGTTTCGTTTAGCAGCTTTATTGGTAGTGCTCAGAAGAAAAGGATTTTTATCTTCTACCCTAAGAAAAAAAATTTTTTTTTTTTTTTAAAAAAAAGCGTCTCTTTTCTCAATGTGTTTGATTTGCGGTAGGCTTCCTACTTCATTAAATGCCAGTTTACATCTTCAAAGGGAAGTTCAGAAAAAGAAAGGAAAAAACCACCTGGACATGCATAAAATCAGAAGGGTTTTAAACTATATTCACCAATTGCTTAAAGAGGCTTCTTGATTTCCAGACTGCAACCTCGTATACAGTGTGTTAGTTTAGTTCTAGATTATACGATTAAAGCCTAATGCTTGAAGCTTCAGCTTGTTAGAATGAGGTTTTTTTTTTTTTCTTCATCTGTAAAAGAGCAAGGACCACTTTTAGGAACATCCTCAAAACGAACGAAACGAGATGTTTACACGAGCAGAAAATTCGAAACTGCGATTTTTGTAAGGTGTTTATTTAATTGACAAGCTCCACTATCCAATGTAAAAAGTAAAGTACAATTGGTGCTCTCATAGAGATACCTGGCATGTGTTCACTTGCACCAAAACACCGTAACGTCAGCTGGCAACCTATAGACAATGTTACTGTCGTCAAAAATTCCTATTACATGATACAAATTTGACACCGGAAAAAGTTAAATATAGAAAACAGCAAAAATTATGGGGGGCAGAAAAAGATATGCACAAAGATAACAGACTATATCTTTTCTCAAATACAAATTAAACTCCTATGCAGTCGTATCACACAAGGCATAAATGTCTTGATTTCATCTAGGCCCAGACAGTTCATCTGGTCGGAGGTTTGATGTGGAATCAGCAATGATCCAATCAGTATTTGGATGGTGTGTATGGTTGAAATCCTGTCGGAACATCTCCTCCTTCTGCCACTCTTCCCATCTCTCAGCCAAACCATCACCTTCAAGCATTCTGACAACTTCTGACATTTTGGGACGCTCTGTAGGGGAACTCTGTGTGCAGAGCAGAGCTACCTGAATTAGTTGTTCCACCTCGTCTTCGACATAGTTACCCTGAAGATCTGCATCCACTAGTGTTTCCAATTTTTTCTCCCTCAGAAGTCCTTTAACCTGAAAGAACATTTCAGAAAAATCAAACCCTGGATGTACAAATACACAAGTACTGTAGAGGTAACTACAAATGGTGATTTAGTTAGGACCATCACAATAGCTAAAATGATCGGGAGGAATTGATTATATGGGGCCAGAAATGTCAGAAAAGTAATGTTGATAACAATTAGCATTCAGTCATGAAACCATACTTTCAGGTAAAAGGCAAATTGCTACTTCTCAGTTCTATCACATTGCTCTTGTTATTTGTGTGTACTGTGTGTTTGTCAAAAAGAGAGAGAGAGGAGGGAAGGTACAGAGATTTTACAATTTATGATTTGATCCATTCAAGGATTAAAAAAAACACACACACATTTTCTTCTCTGGATCTTTTCTGAGGAAAACAAGATGTGCACAGTAAAAGAACTAAGCAGTCAGATGCTTGGTAACCAGCCAGAACTCAATAAGACTTGATAATCATGACAAATGAGAAATTCCAAACTCCCATGCAAATGAATCATGTAATAGGAGACCAGCCAAGCTTCTGGAAGAGTGGAAGCTTGAGTAAATTCACCATCCTCTACTATCACAGAGAATACCATTTCAGAAAAAATCTACAGCATTTTTGCGAAGTCTTGCCCTTAAAACATGTTACCATTTTGGTAAACAAGCCCAACTCGCTTACATCCTACTTCCGTTCAAATCAAAATTAGTCATAATACCCTAGAGACATGATCACAAAAAAATTTTCATTCCGAGTTACACTGCAACAAATAAGTGTCATTCTTTCAGGTCTAGGTTCAACATTCATGAAATATAAAATGATTCCTAAAATTCTCAAGATTAAGTGAGAAATACAAAGTAAACTAAAGAGTTAAAAGGAAAACATGACAGAGCAATATAAACTTACCCAATCAAGCAACATGACATCATCATCATTGGCGAGACGTGCAAGATCAAAAGCTCTCTGCCCAGTGATGAGCTCAAGAAGCATGACACCATACCCAAAAACATCAGTCTTCTCTGAAGACTTGCCAGTGGAAAGGTATTCTGGGGCAATATGACCAATTGTACCACGTACAGCAGTGGTGACATGGGTGTCCTTATAGTCCATGAGCTTAGCCAACCCAAAGTCTCCAACAACGGCTTCAAACTCCTCATCTAACAATATATTTGCAGCTTTTACATCCCGGTGAATAATCTTGGGATCACAATGATCATGCAAATAAGCAAGTCCCCTGGCAGATCCCAATGAAATACGCTTCCTTATTGGCCAATCAAGAGGGGGTTGAGTTTCAGCGCGCTCTACAAGAATTATCAATAGCTTAAGTACAACCGAGAACAATCCCTATAATAGTAGTTAAAGCTCTAAAAATAAGATGCTAAAGATGTTTGAGAGTTGGTATCAATGTAAGTGAAATTTCAACTCCTTAGGTATGCTTCCCCACAACCCCCGCAACCCACTTCTTTCCAAAAAAGGGTAAAACAATTTTAAGTGTTTAAAAGAAATCCATTTAAATCTTTATTAATAAAAGATGTATTCTGCTTTTTGACCAAAAACTATTAACTACAATGGTCTTGCCATGGCAAACATCTGCGGCTGTCTTAGAAAAATGTTGCACCCATCAGGCACTTAAATATCCCGATATGCATCCTATGGCACCTAGGCAGCAACATTCATATGTTGGGCAAAGCAAACATCAGAGGCAGCAACATGCCCATGGTGGGTCAAACACCCATGGCAATAAAGTACCTGTTAGCAGCTATCAATGCAACGACTTGCCCAAAACACCCAAAGGCAGGCACAATGTGCCCTCGCTGGGGCAGACACCGAATGCAGTGAGTCTCCATGTTGAGGCAAACATCTAACTATAATACTTGACCAATGAATGATGACTATCTTCTTAAAGTAAATCATACCAAACAGTATCATGGTATATATAAACATCTATGAACTTAATGAAGAAAGAGAACTTAAAATTTTGACCGTTATTACTGGCTAAACCCCATGAACAATTTAATGGCCTTTACCTCTTAAACATGATGCAACACTGCCATTCACCATGTAAGGATAAACAAGCAACCGTTCTGTTGGTGTCATGCAAAAGCCACGTAGACGAAGTAGATTTCGATGGACAGCCATACTGATCATCTCCACTTCTGTTTGAAACTGCAACTCTCCACCTTGAGTGCGCTCCTCTTTCAGTCTTTTAACTGCCACTAGAGATCCATCAGCTAATCGGCCTTTGTAAACCTTACCAAAACCACCTCTACCAAGAATATTTTTGTTGCTGAAACTATCACTGGCAACTTGCAATTCACGTAGAGAAAATCGTTTCAACTGCCCTAGATGAACTTCTGGGTCCTCCTCAGCTGCACAGAAGTCAATCAAATGAGAACCATTGAACAAATGGGAAACCAAATTACTGAGGATCTCTGCGGTGAGTGAGCACTAAATGGAACACTATGATGATTGGTCTAAGTCAGGCTCTAGATACACTAACCAGGAACATCAAAAAAATGATCTTGTGGTTTCCTTCTGCGCCACCAAGCAAGTAAAATTGCAGGTGCAGCAAAAAGAAGAGCAGCACCTGCAGCAACTCCTCCAGCAATGGCGCCAGTAGCACTATTGGTGCCTGGAAAGCCAATTGACAGGTATTCAATACATAAGCGACTTGAAAACCAATAAAATCACTCATCAAATATACTACTCTCTTCAGGAAAACATGCAAATGACCAAATTTATCTAAACTATAAGATCATGCAACAAAACATGTTAACACTGAGGGTGGAATGTTTGTAGCAGTTTTAATTCCTACTCTTTCAAGACAAACTAATATCAAGTGTGATTATTGGAAAAAAGTAGCAGGGAAAGTAGGAAGGAAATCATGAAGAGCAGTAGAAATCTAATGATGACAAGCAAATAAGCAAGAAAAGACCTCGAGCTGATGGAGTTGGTGAAATTGGAGGTGGTGGAGAGACAGGGAGAGGATCCAAATGATTGTTTTGAAAACTGCAAAACATGAACAGAAGTAGTCAGCAAAATACCTCAATCGGTAACCAAAGTCCAAACATATGAACTCGAGAAAGAACCTGATAGGAGTAAAAAGTGAAAAGGATCCATTGACAGGAATTTGGCCTGTCAACTGGTTATTCGACAGATCTCTGCATTTTACAGTGCAATCAATGTGAGAGGAGAAAACTAAACCCAGTATTAGTACTATTTATTACAATAAGAAGTAATAATATTAGTCAGGTAATACTACAGTATACCAACTCAAAAGAGAAGTTGAATAAAGAGTAAAAGCAAAACACAGCAAGGATTACAATTCACACTTAGCAAAAGAAAACTGAAGAAAAATAAGGCATCAATTTTCCAACTTACAGGACTTGAAGTGTCTGGACAGTGGTTAGGGTCATAGGAATGTGTCCAGTCAAGGTATTATTATTTAGACGCCTGTTCAGCGCACAAGACAAATAAAATCAGCATTAATTCAGTTACAACAATAACATAAGAAAATCATTATTGGTTCACAGTTGAACTGTCTTAGACAGTCAAAGCGTTTCGTCAGAGTAT